CCCCAAAACCCCAAAACCCCAAAACCCCAAAACCCCAAATCTTGACCTAATCATTGAAAGCTAAATCATTAAGATTAAAAGGCTATTCTTTTGATTCTTCTTTGGCTGCTTTTTTATTTTCTTCTTCTATTTCTTCATCTTCTTCTACTTCTTCATCTTCTCCCTCTTCTCCCTCTTTTTCTTTCTTATCTTCTTCAAAAATTAGAAGATTTTCAGCATAGCATAGGTACACCTTTAGTTTTGCCATTTCGATGTCAGTGAACTTATTGTTCTTGAAAGAAATACTAGAGATCCCTCCCTCGATTTGTAGCTCTACATTTGGATCTCTTAATGGAGATGGTAAACCTGGACAATTTAGCAGAAGGCCTATTTGATCAGCTTTGTCATATTCATAATTTTTCTCTTCTCTATGTAAATTTCAAATTTGCATATTCATTATGTACTTACTGATAAATTCCCCCAAAGACACATCCAACAAAGCTAATTCCATAAAGCGGCCTCATTTGCTCACTCGGAGTCACAAACACAACCTCTTCCAACCTCTCTTCAGTAAAACAGGGAAACACACACTTCTCAAACTCAACTCTCATAATCCCTTGCGTCACCACCCTCTGCACCAACTCCAAAAATCACTCATAATCCTCTGAAAAGTCAAACCCCTCAAAAATAATTTGAAAGGGATCTACTCATTCCTCTTGGTCCCTTCCAATCTCTCCGTGCCAGTTCTTCACAATCCCATATTTCCTTTCAGCCATTTCCTTAATTTGTTCTTGAGAGGCAGCTCTTTGTTCCTCCTTGAGGTAGTTTAAGGGGAAATTGTATGGCTGCGAGCTGGAGATGATCGAATGGTCAGGAACAGATTGTTCTAGTGGGATAGGAGAGTGAATGGAGGAGTTCGGGTCTTGTTGGGAGGCGAGGGATTGGAGGAGTGTAGGGATTTGATAAAGTGTGTGGAAGGTGGGATTTTTGTATATCCGGAAGTTTGGTCTATCCTCACTTTCGCTAATGCTAGTACGCAGCCCTTTCAATACTTTAGTGATCTGTGCAGGAGCAAAGGTGGTTGAGTTATGAGGAATAGAAACAAGGTTTGTGATGGGAATCTTTGTTTGAGATGTAGCTTTGATCCTCCAGTCTTCGACTTGGGGGTTGAAAGTTGGGTGTAAGACTGTGGAGGTTTATTTAAGGACTTACTTTTGACGAGGAAAGGGCCTTCTTTTATGAAGATTATGAGGTTTTCTATTTTAAGATTAACCAAGAAATATAGAATTTTGTGGATTAATTATGTACCTTCTTCATCACACTCTTTATCAAGTTCTTCTGGTATCTTCTCTAAGATACGGTCTAATGATTGCAACTCTTTTATTTTTAAATTTGTCCAATCATAAGGCATCTAGAGTTAAAATAAAAATATTAAAAACATAAAATACCAAAATCTTTAAAAAACAATACTAAACACATTAAAAATTCTTACATTAAACTGAAAATCACATTTCTCCACATAAACCATCTTATTTTTCTATCTCCTCCATCAAAAATCTCCTCTGTTGCTCCATCTGTCCTATATCTCTCCTAAATCCACTTCTTACCTCTCTCATCTATACCCTGTGCCACCCCTGCTTCTATGTCCTCTACCTTGACTTCTAAACCACATTAAGCCCACTACTTCTGTTCCAATACCCCAAATTTCTTCTATTGCCACATAAATTTTAGTGAAATGTGCAGTACAAATTTAGGATTTTGGAATAGCCTCAGGAGGGAGTAGAACGGGGTTTTAGAGAGTGGAAGGATGGAGAAGGTAGGAGAGGGGTAGGGGAGAGATGTGGTGGGTTGGAGATTTAAGGGGTGGAATGAGGGTTATATGGGTTGGGGGAGGAGGGGGATTAGGTTTGGGAGTTGTAGGAGAAGGATTGGTAATGTATTTGTTAGATGAAGGTTTATTGGAGATTTTTGTAGAGAGAGTAATTTTATTCACAATAATTATTTTATTCTAAATCCTAAGATAGCAAATAATATCTCAAAATACCATCTCCTAAAATTCCACCATCTCCCAAAATACGCCGACCCCCTACTTCAAATACCACCACCTTCCCCATCCTTCCCCAAAACCCCTCATCCCCAACCTAAAACTCCCACCCATAATCCAAACTTCCTCCCCTTCCCACAACAGTCCCTCCTTCAAGCAAGCTACAAGCTAATCCAAAACCCAAGCAAAAAGCCAACTTACCTTCAGAAGAACCAGAGAATATCTCTTCGGGGCTGGAACGAGTTTCAGTTTTAGAGGTTAGGTCTTCGAGAAGAGAGTGTGAGGGGTGATTGCTGGGTGGAGTTGAGCGAATTTTGGAGTGAGGGGAGTAGGCTGGTAGAGGGAAGTTTGAGAACATAGTTCTGGGAAGGGAGGATTTGGGGGTTGGGTGGTCAGTGGGTTCTGAATGATTGCTGGGTTTTGAGTGGTCATTGGGTTCTGAGTTGTCGCTGGATTGGGTAGTTGCTGAAATTGTTGGTTAAGTTAGGTGTATTTTGAAATTAGAATGTGTATTTTTGAGTCTGAAGGAAAGTAGGTTTTTCTTATACTTTTAAAATACATGAAGAAACTGGTCTACAGTATTTATCCCTAAGGATATCATGAAAATTTTACTGTATGGGTTATAGTTTAAAACCATCACACTTATTTCATTTTTTAGACTTTTCTATCCTTTTGAGGCTCATGGTTAACAATGAAAAATTAACATTATACCAAAAATATAAAGTCTTTTCCAAATTAATCTCTCAAGTTTTATAAAATCAAATAACATTTTATAAATCTTTCTTCATAATCCAAATACTTAAAATTCTAGAAGGGCAAAATCATTTTGATAAATCTTCACATCCCAAAATTTCCTTATAAAAACTAGATTTTGAAAGAAGAATTTTCCAAATTTTATATTCCAACCAAAGCCTTTGGCTAATCAAAGCCCACAACTTCCTGTATTCTCTTAATCTCCCCAAAATCTACCGTAAACACACCCAGTCTATCTGAGGGTGACTAAAATGTAAATATCTTATCTGAATAGCATTCAAAAACTGCACAAAGCTCACAAAAGCCCAGTTCTAATATTCTGTTGACATCTATTTGTTTATCTAAGCTATTGTTGAGCAACAATTATCACGTATGTTTAAACAGAACTATAAAATCCTGCACTAGACTTTTTTTACTGCTTAAAATTCAGAACTTTTCAAATAAATTTGTGGTTGAAGGCATGATACTACTTTTTATTATATTTAAGTTGCATCTGAAGGAAAGACAGAAGAAATAGGAGAGACTGAAAAGTGAGATTTGTTGTTGTTTAGATATTCTAAAGACTAAATTTCTTATCTTAGAATTGCAACATGGAGGAATTATTGAAAAAGAGATACTGACACAATAGTTATGAAGCGGTTATTCAAGTTTCATTTTAAAGGTGAGAATCTGAAACTGAAAAATTTAGGATTAAAATTAATAGAATTGAAGTATGATTTTGTAATTGGAGTTATTTTATAATCACTAGATCGGTTTTAAAGATATTTGCATGAAAGGATTGCTTCAAATATACAATTTGCTTTTATTTAAGTATTTTTTCAATGGAGTATAAACATTCTGATATTCTATCAATTTCTCCATACCCCATTACTAAAACCTCTCAAAACTCTCATAAAAGCCCAAAACTTGTATCTAACCCCTCTGACCTCTCCTTTCCCATAATCCTCCCTCAAACCCTCACCCTGCTCTGCACACTACCTTTAACACTCCTCCCCAAATCTGCTACCACATTCTCCTTTGTTCCTTCTCCATGCAGGCCCTCTCCTTCACTGGTCAAGCCCGTACTGCTAACTTCATTAACTTTTGACCCAACAGAGTCTTCAGCCACAGTGGGTTCATCGAGTAGTCTAGAGTATTTAAATGTACAGTTTTGATAGGTTAGCATAATTTTATAAAGCTAGAATAAAGGAACGCAAACTTTAAACTATTTTATGATGAAATTAAAGTATCCTAAGGTTGATGATGATAAATAATTTTGTTGAACATAATACTCCAAACTCTTAATCCCTCCTAGTATAAAATGGTTCTTACTGAGAAATATGTCAAGCTTCAGAATATTTCTCTCAAGACTCTTGAAAATCTCAGCTTGTTAGATTTTTCCCGAGTCCACGAACTTCAACTTGAAAATTAAAGTGTTTAGGAAAATCTATTTTCTTTTCTGAGGGTTGAGAATAAGCAAAGGTAGTTCTAAATTTGTGTCTTTCATGTTTATACCTTCTTCAACTTTCTTCATCCATCTCACATTCAATCCCTGCAGGGTCTTCTTCATCACAGTCTTTAGAAAGATGGTCTGGCTCAATTGAGGAACATTCGAAGTGATAATAGTAAATACCAGAAAACTCTTCTTCATAGACTAAGTCTATAATATCAAGGATTATTTGAGGAATGAACACTGGAAAAGTAGAAATGGAAAATTTTGGATTTTTGAAGTTGTATGAATAGGTAGGGGAATTAAGAATTAAGAGCAAGATTACAAACGGTCAATTTAGGATAAAGATGAAGGTGGTTTTAAGAATCTGAGGATTTTTGTTTAGAGTTGATTAAAAATAAATTTAAGGTTTTGTTTTGCATTAAAAATTGCAATTTTAAAGATTTTCATTAACTTGAAAATATTAGACTTAAAAAGTATCAGATAAATGAATATCTTTTTGGATATCTTTGTAGTCATGTATTCAGTAATAATTTTCTCAAAATATTAAACTATTATATCATTCATAGAGACATTATGCCCCCCTTTAATCGTTTGTTAGTTATATAAGCTCTCTGATATCTTTAATCCTGAAACATTCACTTCTTAGGACTCCCTCCAATATTATTTTCTTGATAACTTCAACCAAAATATAAAATTAGATTTATTAATCCATTAACAAGATAAGATATTCTTTTCAATAATTAAAACATAACTTGGGAGAAATTCTTAAACTTCGATACAAATTTATTCAAATATCTTCAAGCAGAAATCTCTTCAAAATCTATTCCCAAACCTGAATAAATATCCTTTAAAGAAGAATTTAAATACTTCTGTCTCAGAACTTTGCGATAACCTACGATCGTCTTTTATTAAGCTTCTAATATCCTCTAGGCTACACTTTAGCTGGGCTCAGGAAGACATCAGCTTAGTGGTTGCATTTTATTTAACATGCTCAAGTTTTCTAATTTGGTAGTTCTTCTATCAATAGTAAAAATTGTTGTAGTAATTGAAAATGCTCTAAACTTACCTTCCATTTTCAGAGAGTTAGATCGGTTGAATTCCGATCTGTCGTTGAGAAATTTTAGAAACTTTTTTGGCAGGGATTCTTTCTGTGGACCAGACATTTTGTATAATTATTTTATCTATATTTTATTTTATTTTATATTTGGAAGGAAAGGTCCGGGGTTTTGGGGTTTTGGGGTTTTGGGGTTTTGGGG